GGTTATCAGCTGCTTCTCTTGTTCCAGTGTGTCAGCAGTGTATATTTTTCTGCCATCACTACACCTTGTTTTTACCGCTTAGGGACAAAGTCATAGAAGTGCAGGTAGTGTCCCTACCCAGGTTGTCTTGCGGCAAACTGATCTGCATATTGCACCGTCACTCCTACGTTCTATTAGGAAGTCAAGGAACGGCAGGGTTTCAGGTTGTTCGCAATCCGTTGTTTTGATGTAACGCATACAACCTGGAACCAGTTGGATCAACTGAAAGTTTCTGTCACAGGGTAACAAAATGTCGTCCAGATATATGTGGAACAACACAGTCTCATCGATCTCTTCCATGACTTGATACCCACTATGAGCGACGAAAATATCTGCTAATACCGGTCCGAGTGGACTGCCCATTGCGACATCATCCAATTGGCGATAGCCTTATTCATGAAATAAAGAACATAACAAAAGAAGTCGTTCAAATTCAGAGGCTGTAATGCCTAGTCCCAGCTAGCTCTCGGTCACGTGATTCCAGAGTATCAGGATCGCCTCGTTTAATGGCACATTGGAAACTGAGATAACATCGATACTGGCCGTGCACTATTCGCACATCATCATCATCATACACGTTAGCTAGAGGTGGGGAACACCTCAGCTACTGTGCCGCAAAACATAAAAAAGGAAAAAAATGCAACTGGTGCAAGCCGGCTGAGCTACTAATAACGGATGGGCATCGTTCTGGTAAGCTACCAGCCGGCTACTATGCATCAAAAAAATTACTATGCAAAATTATATAAGGTTAAACAATGACATCGTGGTTGGAGGAGGAGGCTAAGAGGGATGGAGTGGGACAAAGAAACTCACAGAACGAACGCCACTGAGGTCGGCTCCTTGCCATGTCAGCAAGTGTGTCAAACCAAACGTGTTCATCGTCTTTCTGACCCCAACCAGGGAACCGAGACGCTCCAACCGAGGCCAGCTCAAGAAGTGAGGGCCTTCCTTCCTCTGGACCAAGTCATCGCTTGGCCACCTCTCCTTTTCTTCCATCCACACCCCCGGCGCGGAGCGGTTCAGTTCCTTTTCCTGTGCCAGAAACAAGGCGTCGAACACGCTCGTTGCTCACGCGGTGTTCCCACCAGATGTGAGCTAAATTACGAAGGCACCGGTGGTCGAACGTAACTAGCCCCTTCAGGTCTGCTGCTTTAAGCGGCCAGGTTTCACAACCGTACAGTAGGGTCGAACGTACCGATGCATTGTACACTCTACCCTTCAGGGCAAGAGTGATGTCGCACCGGCGCCATAAGTGGCGAAGGTTAGCAAAAGCGCCCCGAGCTTTTGCTATACGGTTCGTGATCTCATCTTCAATCCCACGGGCGCTGATACAACTTCCCAGGTAGTTGAATTTTTAAACGACTTCTAGCTGATCCCCACCAACGGTCAGGGTAGGGGGCGGTCCAGACCAATCTTGGAGGAACGCTTTGCACTTCGAGGGTGCGAAACAAAGCCAGAAGTGACGCACAGCTAGTGCTAATCTGCCCAGTGCCGCTTGGCACGTTTGTGAGCTGTCACAGATTAGGGCAATATCATCAGCATACTCTAAGTCAATAAGTCGTTCTCCTGGGAGCAGATCCACACATTCTAAGTCGTGTCCTGTAAACGCGATTTCCATGACTTCGTCAACAGGGAAGTTGAATAGGAAAGGTGACGGCGGGCATCCTTGTCTCAAGCCGCTGGAGATATTAGAGGGCGACGACAACTTGCCGTAAGCCATCACTCTGCCCGAGCTACACGCATATAATGCTCGGATAATATTCACATATTTCTCAGGTACACCTTTCCTGAGTAGACAGTCCCAAAGTGCATGTCTATCTACCGAATCGAATGCACCTTTGATATCGAGGAACAAGACAAAGGTGGGCCGCAAATATATGTAACGGCGCTCAAACAACTGACGCAAAGTAAAGATGTGGTCAATGCATAGTCAAGAGCAGGTCCCCCGAATTCGAAGAGGACTGGAGGAAGGTCATCAGGTCCCGCGGCTTTATTTAACTTTGACAGTGCGATCTCACGTTCGACTTCTGAGCGAGAGGGTGGATCCAAAGGGATAGCCCAGGGAGCGGGGCGATCAGTGGCCGGCGAGAAATCTAACCATTCCGACCGATTAAATTGCCGTTTAAAGTGCTCAGCCCGACGCTCCAAGCGTTGTGATAAGTTGTGGATAGGCTATCCACTCTAGTCACGTATATTTTCACTAACACCAGGTCTCCTGCTGCCCGTTTCCCGTATCAGACGGAATAACTTACGATGGTTACCAAGGGCAGCGGCCATTTCCATCTCTGTTGCACGATGAGACCACCAGGATTCGCGGTCTCTCTTCAGGCTAGTACGGAGTTTTGCCCGGAGCTCTTTGCGAGTTTCATTGTGTTCGCTTCCAGCCGGAATGTGCCGGCGAGCATCTATAAGTTCCAGAGACTGTGAAGAGACCTAATGTCCATGTTGGCGATTAGACATACCACATGAGGATTTGCCTGCTGCTAGTAAGGTCTGGTGAATATGAGATCAGTGAGCTTCAATTGCGTCCAGTGAGCGTTTATCCAACTCGGATGACAGCGTACTTTGATAGGCATTCAGAACCGCTGGCTTCGTCAGTTGGCTGGTGTCAATGCGCTCACAACGTCGTCGTGGGCGTCCGCCAAAAAGCATCCGCAGGTCAGCACATACAAATGCATGGTTGGTGTCCACACATGTGCTTCAAATCGAGCGACAGTTCTGGACGGTAACTTATCGCAATGTGATCGATTTGCGTCCATAGCTGGTTCGAGGATGGTGGGCGCCAAGTCACTCTCCGGCGCACTCTTCGCACAGATTGATACCGTTCAGAAGTTTCGCTAAAACGATCGTATCCCTCAAAATATGTCTAACCATTGATTGCATAACTGGCTACAAGAGTTTTAGTAGCCAATTCGTTAGTCAGAGGGAAGTCCACGTTGTGCAATTTTAGACAGCGATTATCGAAGACTGACAACCGCTTCGTGTCCTCCGAGCGAATAGGCATCGTTCTAAGATAAAAGCGAGTTAGTCGTTGGATGTTTGGGCACATGTAGGCCCCGGCCTACTTGAGAGCTGGTTCACAAAGACGATCAAATTAACCACAGGCAGCCGCCAGTTCGCTCTTGCTGCTAAATATGCCTTCAACGACCAGATTTCGCAATAGAGCAAGATAACGCAGGGTTCTAGTCAATGAGAATAGGAATGCACAAGTCGCATGAGCTCTTCACATGCTCAGTCAAATGGAAGGATAGGCCGCACATGGTGTCATACATCGGCTGTTCCTAAACTGCAATGATTTAAAGCCGGTGTGTCACTCGACATCCTCGCCCAATCCTCGAGTAGTGTATTCACACTTTGGTCACGATTATGAGCATGGTCTATAAAACTAGCGATATTCCTTAACTATGGTGGGAAACGCAGTGACTGATGACTGTAAGTTGCACATAATCATGACTAGGCAAATTCCCATGGATACCCAACGGATTATTATCCCTCCTGCCGTAGAAGGCGTGGATTTTAGATGGCACATGTGGATGGACTCGTTGGAATCCAGATGAACCGCTGATAACACCGAACAAAAGGGAAACAGACAGGCAATTAATACCTATCAGTATCTGAGCCGGTAACCTGGTATGCGTATGGAGAGAGAAGAGAGCCAGGTACGAATCATGTTACCCATAATAAGCGGACCCAGCCCAAAGACATGATAACAAATGGACTATAAAATGTGTCCGTATAGCTTCTAAGTCCTATGTGGTACAAAGCCGCTATGCGGAGTCCTAGCTCGTGAGGCTAGCCATTGTCATCTGCACATTTCGTAACTGGCATGGCAGTGGAAGATGAGCCGGGCTATATCACATTCAAATGTCAATTACCCAGGTCCGCGGCTGTCACACATGGCGAAGTAGCACTAGCTGCTGGCACCCTGAAGTCATGGGAGCGGAACCCGGCAGGGGTCCGCTGGAAGGCGCTCCATTGAGGAGCCCCAGAAGGTCGAAAGGCCGGCGTCCGGTGCTTTTCCAGACTAGCCTAAGCCTGCTGATTGGGAGTGAAGATGATGAATTAGCTAAAATGTGACGTTTGTTGCTGAAATAAAAAAACCGTAAGAACAGTGGTCGTCAAGCACACAAAGTCATAGTCGAAAATAATGTGGAATAATAAACGGAACGGCCAGAAGCGCCAACATTGCGTGTCGTTCGTATAGAGTAGTTCCACAAGCTCTTGGGTCGACGAACTTCAGTTAAAAAGATTTCACAGTGTAACCTATTCGTACTAGAATCTCCAACAGGAATACGAATGTAAATTCACTGTACTGATGCTCAGTAATCCAACAAATTCGCTCCACTGACAATGGGAGCTGCAGTGAACTGATAACGACCTTAGGTACACACTGGGAAGAGTAAAAATATCTGTTTGGCTTCGGTTACAAGGTGCGTTTGTACCGTGGTACTCAATCGCAATGGGGACTGGTCAACCTGATCGCCAAGGCAGTCTATGAAGTAGGGGTATTATTGGCATTTCAACGAATCGGGGATACCGCAAACAGTTAGATCAAAACTCTCAGTCCCAAAAATACAATTTCTTAGGAAAGCTTGGATAATATCGTAAGCATACAATCCTGTCGAATGCATCGGACAGTTGCGGAAGCGACCTCATAGAGAGCAGCGGCAGCATGTATGGACTCGCGGAAGGGATGTCTACCATACCAAAAGGAGGCACATGTTGTCAGATTGTAAGACGGTAAAGTTATAATAAATGAAAACAAAAGAAACTGAGACTGTGGACTAAAAGTGACAAATGAGGCAAGATGCCATCATCGTTGCGAAAGTATGGAAGTATGAAGCGTGCGTGCAGTATGAAGGGGTGAAGAGTGGTGGTTTGTTGGGCACTTAGCAACCGCAGTACAGAAACGTTTAGCAAGTGGCAAAGGCATGAAGTTAAAATAATAAAGCACAATCTACCGGAGGCAGGTTCTTTCGTCGTTGCATCGGGACCTTTCTTGATCGGGGTGCTTAAAACGCTGCTGCACGGTGATCGTCCCTCAACCTGATTATTCTGAAGGGACGCGGGTAAGTGCGGCTCGTAGGTGATTTTCGGCTTGGTCACTGCATCATCTTTTCTGCAACAGTAAAATGAAATCGCTTAGCTTTTCTCATCCAGTAACGATTTCTAGACAGAAGTAGTGGGTAAGCAAGAGTATGCACAGTACAAATGGTTCCGGATATACTGATGTGGCACTTGTATGATGCCAGTCGCGACTATGGATTGCAACAAGTATGCAACAAGCATTTAAGCCAAGCTGAATATGGCTTGCAGACAGAAGATTAGTGAAACTTACTTATCTATTAAGAATTTCTGCAGCTGCTCCAATATATCAGTTGCCTGACGGTGATAATCCACCTGTGCTGTAATAAATTCAGTTAGTCCTTGAATCTGCTCAACCTAAGAGGGCAAAAGATAAAGTCCATAAGAGTCGATGAACATAAACTAACGATATTATAAAGTATGCAAACCGATCGCGCACAAGGAAAACGTAACATGGAGAACCGAAAAAGTGGCATCAGATGAAATGTACGGAGGCAAAAATTGCGCACTCTGCTATCAGTCAGAAAATCGCGCCTAACCAACAAAAGAACAACACGGACAGTAGGAATGAAAAAGGAGCAAAACATGGATACTCGCAAATGTGACACTAAGCCACCGGCAAGATAAGCAGAACGGAAATGTTCGTTTGTTCCCTAATTGTATCTTGATAAGGGCAGTAAGAGATTGATGATGAGCATTTCCAAGACAGGTGGACAACAGCGCGGGAAAAAAGCCGAACGAAAACCACACCAAGACAAGCTAAGGATTTCCATGTATGACCAACTCGAGAACTGGGATTAACTTTGAGTCGCATGCCTTTTACAGACGCTACCTAGGAAATTACAAGTATGTGCCCCGATATTCATGCAACTGTCAGTAAACACTCAAAAATCAGTGATGTTGTTTCACAGCCGCACAACGATGATAAGGAGCGGGGTGGAGGTTACGTAATGGAAGAGTCTGGGGCTCTTGTGTCAAGAGAGAAACAACCGCATTACAAGGCTATACAATAGTGCAATTCAAGAATATATGTTAGGACAAAAACCATAACTTAACAAGACTCACAGGACCGAAAATGCACAAGAAAATCAAGATCAAAAATGTTCCAACGTGGAACGTGCATCATCAGTAGATAAGACATCGAACTTTATCACAGTCGTGCAACGTTTAGCACTAAGATGAAAGTCTGCAAATCTTTCGAGTGTCTGATGCGTTCACCATATGTGTTGGCAGTGCATTCCAGCGGGAACAGATTCTAAGAGAGTGAAAATATGTCCTTCAGTCTAGACGGGAGTGTTGCATTACTAGTTTCAGGTGATGGCCTCGACATTGTTTGTAAGGGGCTATGGTCAGCAGCAAGGTACATGTGTGCTCAGTTTCAGTTAGTATCCGGTAAGTGAGAACGAGATCTCCGCGAAGCTGTCGGTATTCTGAGGTGAACACACCGAATAAACGAGGGCGCTGTTCGTAACTGAGACCGGATAGTCCACCTGTTGCCTTGGTGACTCTACTTTGAACCTGCTCCAAATGACGAATATCTCGTTTTAAGCATGGACACCAAGCATGAACCGCATATTGAACGTGAGGACGATATGTGTTGATCAACCGTGGTACTATCCGTCGCTCAAAGGTGTCGAGAGCTCGCCTCAAAGGTTTCAAATTCAAATTTGCCAAGTTCGCTGCTTCCGAATATTGGAGCGAATTGCCAAGACTTTCTTGAACGATGATATCTAAGTCTCATTCACTAGCCGCCTGTTGCAAAAACGGGCTGTCCCAAAATATAGGTGTTGCTGAAGCTGTTAAACAACGTCGGCAGATGGCACTTTGCAGGATTCTGTTGATCTCACGAATGCAGGTTCAGTAGGAGCTGGTTTCTTTCTGCCCATCCGTTAATCTGGTCCAGATCGCCCTAGAGATAGGCACGGTCGGATGCTGAGCGAATAGCTCTCCATTTCTTAGCATCATCTGCAATTATATGCATCAAAGATAAGATATTTTCTGGAAGGTCATTTATGTAAACTAAAAACAGTAGTGGGCCGAGTACAGATCCTTGCTGTACACCACTGGAGACGCACAGGCTTTCGATGTGTATTGGCTATTCATAACTTGATGGTTCTGCCTTACAGGTAATCTTTTAATCAGGTGAGCAGGGAACATTTGATACCACAGGCAGTAAGTTTTTGAAGGAGAACGAAGTGATTGACCCTGACGAATACCTTAGAAAAATTTAAGTAAACCAAATCTATGGGGTCTCCTTCAGCAGCCGTCCTGATTCATGTATCCCGAGCAAGGAGCAGATTGGTGAGTCAAGATCGTCTGCGTCTGGAACCATGTTGTACATTGGAAATTATTTGCAGACTTTAAAATATCGCATCAGTTCATTTGCGAATACCGATTCCATTACTTTTGATAAAACAGGGAACAGAGTAATAGGTCGGTAGTTGGCAGGATCCGATCTCTCACCTCCTTTGTATATCGGAGTGATGATTCCACCTTTCCACTCAGATGAGAGTTTAGAGGAGTTAAGCAGACCCTGGAAAATATGCTGCAAGATGTACTGCTATGGTGGGAGTAAGAGTTCTAAATACCTTTGGGCAGGTCTTGCCGATTCTCGGGGCACTGTTTTCTCGGAGACTGAAATTTGTTCACGAGAACCTCTGGAATAAAGGCGACATTGGATAAGCCGATGACATTTGACGGCAGTTGATAGAGCAAACGTTCCATGGTATTTGTAGCCACGGAGCCAAAATGCAGGAGTAGAGCGTTCGCGGTATCCACAGCAGTAGTCGTTAAGCCAGTGGTCGTCTTGAGTGGTGGTATTCCAGGTTTAATCTCTCTTTTGTCGTTCAGATACCTGTGTAGCAGTTTGTTGTTACTCGCAAACTTGAGTACTATGGTCTCCTGCCATTCGTACTTGTCTGCTATAATAAGTGACGTGCAGTAATTTTTTATTGTTTTGTAATTCTGCGTTGTGAAATCACATGGGCTAAGCGTATGCTGCCACAAAATCTTACCCCTTCTGTTGACCCACTTACGTGTTTTGCTTCAGGTCCAACTGTTGGTCCGGCGTGATACCCGTAATGCTACAACTTTTAAGGCTGCTCGCATGACTCGATTAGCTTTAACTTTCAATTCATTCCATGCGTCGTTCGCCGAACTGTCAGTCTGTAGGTCCCAGTCAACAATTGTCGCTAGGTTGTGAAGCTTGGAATAGTCAGTGATAGTTCGTTGGGTTTCGTGTTCTTTATCAACCATACTGGCATAACGCACATAACCAAATGTTATAACTGAATGGTCGCTATTGCTTAGTAGAGGGTCATGCGTGACGGAATCAATCATCAGCTCTTCATTTGTCAGAATTAGGTCCAGTAATGATCATTTGTTTGAACCGCGGTGTCTGCTTGATCGTTGTATATAGTTATACAAAATACTCCATGAATTGAAGGAGTTTTGATTTAAATGATGACCTATTAGGGGGCACTGAGACTATTGAAGATACGTTGAAAATCGCCCATTATAAGGTAATGAGAGTACTTCTTAAAACAGCATAGTAGAGTGCGTTTAACGGAATGTCATCATTGTCTGCGGAGTACGGTAGTCTGTAGACAACTGCTAAGAAGTAAGAAGCACACGTCGTCCTCCGTGATCTACTAACTTGACCTGTTAGCTGCAGTCGGCGAAATAATGCGCTGGAAATAACAAGCGAATGTTGGGGAAGGGCCGCACATTTAATGTAATCTCGATAGTAAATGGTAACACCACCATCGCGAGGTGAACAATCATTTCGTATGACTGAAATCTCACTGAGTTCAATCTCCGGATCCAGTATGTATTTTGAGAGCCAAGTTTCAGTCAATGCTATGATGTCCCGATTTATTGTTTCGTATCGATTGCGCACTTCTGGCAGTTTAGAGTAGACGTCTTGAGTGTTGGTATAGTAGCATTGTACTTGTTGACGAATTAGGAGCTCGGTTCGCCGTGAGCGACCGACACAATTAGCGCCGGTCTGCTGGCATTTTTTGAAACGTGTGTATTTACGGTTCGCTGATCTGAGGTAGGAACAACCGAGGATGGCTCATCTGCAATTGGGGTCTGTACTGCTTGAAGGAATGGTCTTAAGCGTACCTCAGGAGGCCCAAGCTTCTTGTTGTCATGCTACGCTTGGATTGCAATTGTTACCATCTCGGGTGTAGCCAAGGTAAACTCAAAATTTTTGGCCTGCTCCCGTGGTAGTTTGGGAACGCAACTAGGCCGGTGACGAAATAAGCGACAACATTTTGCATGTTCTCGGCTAAGCTATCCGAAATGGTGATCGCTGTTTAAGGAGTAAGTGAGAAGCGGTGTGCAGTGTGAAACCAGAAAGACAAAAGAAGATAAGCAGAAGTAAGGCACGCACACTTTGTGAACAACACACAATTCCAAACAACTGTCTATTGACGAAGATAAAGTGGCATCATTGATACGGGTTCTCTGCGCCTCTGGCTGCTTCCAGCCAGAATCCGCCTCCCTCTACAGATAAATAAATAAATAAGGCAGTACGAGACACAGACCGATTGCCTGATCTGATCATTTTGTACATCACAATGAGATATTGGAGAAAGTTTTCGGGTTTTTCGATGTAGTTCAAAAAGGAGTGTTTAGGGTATAAATCATTTAAAAGTAATAAAAGACAAAAGTTGAGTGTAGGGATAGTAGTAGGTATAGTCGACATTTCAAGCAAAGTAATGCGGTCATTCGTGCAACCATCTTCTGGGGACTTGCTTCCATGCGGATTAGTCCCTCGAAAGGTTTCATCCCCACGTGCACGCATCATCTGGCCATATGTTGATGTGAGTTAAAAGAAGTAAATCGTCATCATGTTCACTGATTTTTTCATGCCTGTTGTTATAAGCAAGTGAGCTGTAATCACATCGACTTATTATGGGTCGCTGTTCCATACTGGGCACTCTCGCCATACAGCCCATTCCACCTCTCAGCTGTTTTGAGTCCTGCATTCCTAGTATTCACCAGTTAGTATGTGACAAATCGGCGTGCGTGGGTGTACTAATTAGCTTGGAAGCATCAATTCGTCATCTCAGAAGATCGGTCAAATCATAACCAACAATGGTAGGAGAGAGAAATATAAATAGAATTAGGATAAAAGACCAATAACGATAAATGACTTATATCCGACGGTTGACCAATCCAAATTGTACATAAAATCATAGAAAACAAATAACCTCACGATGTATTCATCGAATAGGTAGGTCTCAAAGGAATATTGAGATAGCAACGACAGTTGCAGGCGACAGAAAAGGAGAGAGAATGATAGTGCAAGTTCACTCTGCAGGGCACTGAGAACTGTTGCGGGCACCGGA